TGATCTACAGGTCCATCCATGTTTGCTGAAAATAGCATTATTTTATTCTTTTTTATGACTGAGTAGTATTCCATTGTATAAATATAGCACAGCATCTTTATCCAGTCATCTGTTGATGGACATTTAGGTTATTTCCATGTCTAGGCTATTATAAATAGCAGCACTGTATAAATTTAAGTGTGATTTCCTAGAACACTCCCTTGTTTTCTGGTATTTTTAAACAAAACAAAATTAATAGATTTTGTAAGAGTCAAATTGAAGAACTTGACCTATTAAATATATAAGCTTGGTTTTATTAGTTGTCATTTTGAAGAAATACAGACCATAAAATAGCAGAATCTTCAAGCTTGAAGATATCTTAAAAATCACCCACCCACTGTTCTGAGGCCAGATCCCTTAACAACATATTTGGATTATAAGCACTCTGCACTAGTAGTTAACATATTCGAAGGTAGAGAGCTTACTACTTTCATAAGCAGCTAATGATGTCTTTGGGTAGGTCTAATTTTCAGAAAGTTCTTTCCTACATTGAACCAATTTTTTTTCCTCTAACAATACCAAATATGTGGACATGATAATACTTTGAATATTTAGGGTCATTTTTTTCATGCCCTTCTTTCCCACATATTTTTAATATGCTATGATACATTTTCAGGGATCTCTAAAAATTATTGTATTATTATTATATGCCTACACAGAGTTAAGGATATAGTCTTCCATATTATCAAGTCTGCCCAAGATTTTATAGCCTAACTACAAGAAATTAGGGTCCAACTACAAAGTTAAAAGGGAAGAGTCCACAGAAGACCACTCTTACTTCTGAAAGTTGAGTTTCTCGGATCCGCTTCCAGCTTTGTTAATTCACCAGGGCAGCTCACAAAACTAACTGAAACCTATTGTACTTACAGTTTCAGATTTATAGGGACATGATACTGAAAATCAGCCAAAAGAAGAGACACAGTGCAGAGCCTAGGAGGGTTCCAAGTGGAAGTTTCTATTGTCCTCAGTATGTGAATTCCCCTTCTAAGTACTGATGTGTGACAATACACATGGTGTATTGCCAACAGAGGAAGCTCACGTGAGCTTCAGCGTACAGAGTTTTTATTGGTGCTTTATTCCATAGGCATGATCTGCTGATTGATTGATTGATTTACCAGGTTGTTCAAAGGGCCCACCATGAATAATAGACTCTCTTATCACTTGGGAGATTCCAAGGGTTCATAAGTTACCTCCTAGGAGCCAAGTGCACAGGCTGGACCTCTCTTTGGGTAAGGCCAAATTCCTTACCATGTTGTATGATTTACTGTTTTCTTGGAGAAAAATCTTCAATTCCTTAATATTATATAAAATACAGTTTTAGGAGCTCAACTTATCTCGGTTGCATTTCTCTAGAAAATATTTAATATATTAACTTCTTTGGGGTCCTGGAAACTTTGAGTAACCTTGGTAACAAAATATATACCTCGTATCACTTGTCTACAAAAGCCATCTCTATGTTGAAGTGTTTGATCCCTACTGTAAA